GAAAGAGTTAATGATGCTGAGCGCCGTGCTTAAAGCAATAGCATGAGCTACACAATGTAGAGAGACCGACTTGCTGATATTGCAGGCTCCTATTTTCGACACATTTGTAAATATCCGATAAATTAATATAGTTAAACGTCTGCTACACATTTCAGTGACTACTACATATGAAACAAAGCAATCAAATAGAATTTGCGAAAGATTACCTCAAATCTATGCAAATGGCCATCGGACAGTTTCATCTGCATGAGAATGGAGGGCTGTGAAGCTCGAGACAGCGAGCTAAAATCATACAAACAATAATAATAATGAATCATATGATGCTCATGTGCTTCCGTTCACATTAAACATACACTAACTGATACAAGGGCTTCACAATTAAACATACAAATAATCATGCTCACGTTTACAGCTGCCACAATTATTCATGAAAAGTGCTAATCACTAGGGATGCACGATATTATCGGAAAATCAGACGATAAAAGGCTTAAAATGCACATATCGGCATCGGCAGATGATGCAGATATGTCTTGCCGATAAGACGAATAGCTCACATGTGCTCAGGGTGTGCTAGCGATAAGATCACATCAGCAGTGTGCTCATTCTTGAATGAACTTTTGCCTGAACAGTGATTAGATTAACTGTTTTGAATTGCTGCATTAAATTTGAGAATGCATGTACAGAATGACATGTTCAGTGTGCGATACTGTCAACAGTCACAAATGCATGCAGCAGCAGCAGCAGCCTCTGGGTCGTAATGCCCCTCTGGTAAGGTGTTTTATTTATTTAGGGCAAGGGTGCTCCGATCAGGAAGCTGTAGATACGATCACCGATACCGATATTTTTGAAGCTTTCTTTTTATCATGTAAAATTATTTATAGTGATGCTCCAATCAGGATTTTTACAGACAATCATTCGGGGTATTTTTTAGACATTTTACAAAAATATATAATTATCTCACCTAAATGTTTGATCATGCAGTGCATTTTTGTTTTTACAGTGGGGTTATTGTAGCACAATAGCTTACACACAGCACGAGCCTGATTTGGTGAGCTGTATGTGAGTTGGCCTTATGTGTGTGCACTTTGAGTGTCTAGGAGAGTGCAAGAGACTTAAAAATAAATGCTAATTATAAACTTCAGTGACGATACGACACTGCCTAGATTGTGCAAGTGACAATTCCTGTGTCATCTGTGCAGCTCACTTATAGTGCAGACGCCATGTGGTGATTTGAAGCCATTTGCACATTTCAGCCGTTTTTAAGAAACTGGATGACTCAAAAGTATCATTTATTATATGCATTTAAACTATTATCAATCAATTATTATATTAAGTAAATAACTTTATATAATTAAACATTAAATAACATTAAGTATTTTATTGCCTTAATTGTTTAGATTTTTATAATGCATCATTTTCTTGTCGATCCATTCACATTTACAGCTCTGCGTGTCTGAAGCTTAAAAATATAGGTCGATTTTCCCATTGGTCTGAACAGAAACAGCAGACGGGCGTACTGAAAATACACATTCATTCTCTGCCAGCAGCAGGCGCTGTCGGAGCAGCAGAAATACAGCGGTTTCCCCGGTAACAGCAGCACACAGCTCATGTTTATTTAATAAATCGTCGCCTTAATCGTCACATTAAGCCATATCGGAATTCTGGTCTTTCCGTCCCTAAATTTAAGACCTCCAGAAATCCTAATTAAGACTTTCTTGTACCATTTCAGACTCTTTATGGCCTTAAATTTGATACAGCTAAATTCAAGACTTTTTAAGGACCCACGGAAACCCTGCTCAGGTGCTTGTGGATGTGCAGACAGAGTTCCCACTCTTTTTCAGAGGTTATTTTCCAGGACATTTTCATTCATGCGGGGAATAAAAAACAAGGATCATGCTCTGAAAAAATACATTCAGGTGAACGGTTTACATAAATATGTTTATGGCTATTATATCAGCTCTTGTATGTATTATTGACATTAGTCATTGTATTCCAGGGTTCGTACACATTTGACCAATACATTTCCATGACTTCCCCATGACTTTTCAGACAATATTCATGAACTAATGTTCCACTATTTTATAAGTATACATGTAAAATAAGAAGAAAAATCTATGTTCAAATGTATGTTAACTAAAATGAATGACTATTAATGCTACTTAGTTGCTTTCTATTTGTTTTTATAATAAGTACAAGCTGTAACTGTGTCAGACGTTACTCCACGCAGAGGACATATCACATCACTAAATATTAATTTAACCAATATTATCAAGTAAACTCAGGACCTGAATTGAGTTTAGGAAACCGTTTAGGTCTAACAAGTAGCATTCTGGTACAGAAATATACAGAAATTCAATAAACTGTAAATTAAAAACAGATTAATCCATAAAGCCTGATTTGGTGAGCTGTATGTGAGTTGGCCTTATGTGTGTGCACTTTGAGTGTCTAGGAGAGTGCAAGAGACTTAAAAATAAATGCTAATTATAAACTTCAGTGACGATACGACACTGCCTAGATTGTGCAAGTGACAATTCCTGTGTCATCTGTGCAGCTCACTTATAGTGCAGACGCCATGTGGTGATTTGAAGCCATTTGCACATTTCAGCCGTTTTTAAGAAACTGGATGACTCAAAAGTATCATTTATTATATGCATTTAAACTATTATCAATCAATTATTATATTAAGTAAATAACTTTATATAATTAAACATTAAATAACATTAAGTATTTTATTGCCTTAATTGTTTAGATTTTTATAATGCATCATTTTCTTGTCGATCCACCAATTCACATTTACAGCTCTGCGTGTCTGAAGCTTAAAAATATAGGTCGATTTTCCCATTGGTCTGAACAGAAACAGCAGACGGGCATACTGAAAATACACATTCATTCTCTGCCAGCAGCAGGCGCTGTCGGAGCAGCAGAAATACAGCGGTTTCCCCGGTAACAGCAGCACACAGCTCATGTTTATTTAATAAATCGTCGCCTTAATCATCACATTAAGCCATATCGGAATTCTGGTCTTTCCGTCCCTAAATTTAAGACCTCCAGAAATCCTAATTAAGACTTTCTTGTACCATTTCAGACTCTTTATGGCCTTAAATTTGATACAGCTAAATTCAAGACTTTTTAAGGACCCACGGAAACCCTGCTCAGGTGGTTGTGGATGTGCAGACAGAGTTCCCACTCTTTTTCAGAGGTTATTTTCCAGGTCATTTTCATTCATGCGGGGAATAAAAAACAAGGATCATGCTCTGAAAAAATACATTCAGGTGAACGGTTTACATAAATATGTTTATGGCTATTATATCAGCTCTTGTATGTATTATTGACATTAGTCATTGTATTCCAGGGTTCGTACACATTTGACCAATACATTTCCATGACTTCCCCATGACTTTTCAGACAATATTCATGAACTAATGTTCCACTATTTTATAAGTATACATGTAAAATAAGAAGAAAAATCTATGTTCAAATGTATGTTAACTAAAATGAATGACTATTAATGCTACTTAGTTGCTTTCTATTTGTTTTTATAATAAGTACAAGCTGTAACTGTGTCAGACGTTACTCCACGCAGAGGACATATCACATCACTAAATATTAATTTAACCAATATTATCAAGTAAACTCAGGACCTGAATTGAGTTTAGGAAACCGTTTAGGTCTAACAAGTAGCATTCTGGTACAGAAATATACAGAAATTCAATAAACTGTAAATTAAAAACAGATTAATCCATAAAATCAAAGTTACAAAAGTTATTTAGTCAAGAGCAGTGATTGATCTTTTTTTTTTTTTTTTTTTCTTGCTGAGGCAAATGTGTCTGCTCCAATAATACCTGTTTCTAAACACAACACTGGACACGTCTGCAATGAATTCTTCAGAGACCCTGGTAATAAAGAGCACCTATAAACACAACTGCACACAAATCACTATACAAATATCAGTGTCAATATAAACATATCGGACTATTAATTTGAATTATTACTCTTTGAGAAAAACTATACTTTATGTGACATCTCTTACCGAAGCGCCCTGAGATCTTCATTAAAAACCCCAAAAAAGAGAATTCAAATGAATTGAGGAAACGCATGTGTTTATATGTCTGGCTTCATATACATACAGCGTGATGCAATGTATGACAGTTATCACAAGAGAAGACTTTAACTAGTATTCAACATTTCTACACACAATTTTATAAATTAATTACTACATTTCACAGCGATGCACCAATACGGTAACTGACATTTTTTTGTACATATAATGAAGCCAAGAACCAATACATGAATCTCATTTTTATATACATTTTGAGAGCCTGATTACAAAAACAAAAGGCGCACCAATAAAAGCTCTGGAGGAAATAATTCATCGTGTGGTGAAGCCTCACTACAATTCAGATTTGAGCTGAGAATCAAGAGTTGGAGAAGGCATTATTGAAATGCATGTATTCAACAGTTTGTATGCATCTGAGATAGGGCTAATGTTTCATATAGTTCTGTATCGATCACTTTCGATAATTATTGCATTTTTTTTATAACCTTTCTTTAGGGTATTTTTTAATTTACCCAATTTATTAAGACAAACAACTTATTTTAGTCTTAAACAAAATAACAAAACAAAATTTGAACAAATATCTCCTTATATTTTATATGCAGACTGAATAAGTGTTCAGTGTCTGCTGAGGCTACAGGAGGCCACAATGAGCAAAATAATGCGCCGTGTTAAACTGTTTATTCAATGCAATGAAAATAATGGCTGTCTATTATAAAAAATGCTTAACGTCTAAACTAATATTTATAAGTCAAATATGATTTCATAAATTGCATAAATAATAATGAACAAAACAGCATAATGTATTTTATGGATAGCTTAAGAATAGAATATAGATTTTAAAATGCACACCTAGACTGAAATCACTTCACACTCCATCCCAGTAGGTGGCGGAATATGCACCAAAAGCCAACCGCCATTAAACATCAGAAGAAGAAGACGACGAAGAAGAAGAAGAAGAAAACGTCAGCAGCGGAAGAGGACTGAGAGCGGATGTTTGCGCTGGTCACATTAAACGCCTAAAACAGATCATTTCTAACAGGTATGTGTGAAATATGGAGACTGACACGATCCTGTGTGCATCTTTAGTGCTTCCTGAGAGAGAGGGCGAATCGCTGCTAATTATGAGCGCCGAGGTGCTAAAATAACGAATACAGAAGAGAAATATTGATACTCCGACTACATTAACGACTTGTGTTATTGATTCTTCAACAGGGAATATAGTGATAGGTTTAGATGATTAGAGCTGCTGTGTCGGAGAATGAGAGTTTGGCCTGCTGGAGTCTGTTTACATGCCCTCCATAATCACTTCTCTCTCTTCTCGTATCCCATTTGGCTGCTGTTTAATACTTCATAGATCAGTGACTTGTCTTTACCTTTGGCTATATTGTCGATAATTATCAATAACAATAATCATTATTGGGCTGCTTGTCAATTATGTGATGTGATGTGTGTGTGTGTGTGTGTGTGTGTGTGTGTGTGTGTGTGTGTGTGTGTGTGTGTGTG